TACTGTGCTATTTAGGTTGTTGGCCACCATAAAACAGTTAATCTCTATTTTTCTAGAATTGTAACATCATTTAAGAATGCAGGATCAAATACTTCAGTATAGAAAGGAAAAATGAAATAATCTTTATCTACTGTACAACTACAACGGATGGTTAACTAACATGTTTCAATAGACATTTGAGAACAACAAAGTGAACAGCAGATGCAAAAAGGGATAAAAAGAGTACAAAAAGTTAAATGTAAATTTTCTTCTAAGATAACAAAATCTTCACAATCACCCTTTTCCCTCCACCAGAAATGTGGATTTCTCAGTGAACACTGAACAGGAATTATTGTGTCCTAGATTTCTGACAAAAAGATTCTTACCTAATTTGTTTTGGAAAAAGATGTATCCCTTACTAGTAGAATCATATTGCTGCTTCCACAGCAGCAGAATGAGACAAAGTTGTGAAACTAGGTTTCCGCTTGCACTGATAGTCCTGCCTCCTTGGTTTCTTCTGTGAATGGTTGAGAAGAGGATGATTCAGTTTGAGCAGTGCCTGTTTTATGTGGACTGTACTTCTTCAGCAGCCTATCTTTATTTTTGTTCCACCATTCTTCTGCTTGGTGCCCATCAAATCTTCGTTTGCTGCAAAGAAGTTTAGAGGCAAATTTAAGCAGAGAAAGTGAAATTGATCGCATGACTATATATGAAAATAAATGCACAAAAATCCCAGTAAATGTTTATCTTCTGAATTTTTTTTTTTTTTCAGCAAATATCACTGGAGGAGTTTGATTTTGTGTTTGTGTGTATATATGTCTGTTTTCTTGTTTCTTGTGCCAAATCTGTTCTCCATAATTTTGTTTCCATCTTACGATTAAGAAAAAAATGAAGACTCTGGATTGTTCTCAATATTGAACAGTGGAATTCCAGTAGAATCAAACATTTGGAGTACCTGAATCTAATTCGTCTGAAGATCTTCCTGCCACTTTGGTGTTGAACATAAGTGACATATACACCAGGTTCAAATTGTTCAATAAGTTCCTTTTCTCCACCCCTGGTTATTGAAGCTTCTGATAATCCTGTTTCATTTTGTGAGCTTTGTTGGGATACAACCTCAGTTACATTAGAACTTCCAACAGCATTAGGCAGGGCACTTGCTCCAGTAGCATCTACATTCTCCTGTGTCCTCTGCTCTTGCAATTGAGAACCCTCCAAGTTTGCTGATGCTTCAGAAGAAGCTTTCGATGTTCCATTCTCCTTCAAGAATTCTTCAGCTTCTCTGAAAGTTTCATTTTCAGAAACCTCAGGAGGGAACTTGTCTCTCATTTCCTTCAACTGAATAACAGCCAAGATAGCAGGAACAGGGGCTAGTTAGTAATATTCACTTAATTAACTGAAAGTGAGAAGAAAAGGCATAATATCATTGTTGACATGGTCTTATACTAACTTTTCCTTATCGTTATGAGCTATTAAATTGGTGAGATGAAAATTTGTAGTATTAGTCTAACAGAATCACTACCTTCCAGTCATTTTGAAAAACAATTCCTACAAACCATAGAAATAGTTTTTTTTTTTTTTTTTTTCCTTTATGTTAATTATCTGAAGAATGATTTTTGAATCATGATGCACTTTCAACATCCTTATTTTTCTCTGTACATTTTATTAAGCAAACTATTAGTCGTGTCCCACTTGTTGAGAGTGAATAAGAACTAATTGCAGATGCTTGAAGCAGTTTTCTGTTGATATTTCTGTAAATTAATCACAGAATTCAATTGTATGAAAATGAACTGTTGCTTATAATGCACCAGCAAACCTGACTACTGTCAGAAAATTTATACCTGATCTGTGATGGACTTCAAAATTTCCTTGGCCACTTTGTATTTGGATGATTTCTCTGCATTGTATAAAGCAGTTTCTTGAGCATTTTTCCGCATTTTCTGAACTTCAATGTTTTGTGTGTCACATTTCTGCCTCAAACTTCTAATCTGTAGTAGATGAAAAGGAAAAGGTTGATATTTGCAAAGCAAAAGCTGAATTGAAGAAACCATTAATGATGAAATCACAAGAGGATATGATTGGTACTTGATTTTGCAATTTTGAGACTTCTTGATTCAAAAGCTCATTTGACTTCCTCAGGCTTTCAATAACAGTCCTAGAAAATGCTGGAGTAGCAGTTCGTGAGGGACTTGGTCTCCTGTATGGTGAAGTAGATCTTGAGTTAATAGGGGATGGAGGTGCAGGGGGTGTTGGTGGAGGATTAACAGGCCGAAAAGCATTTTGAAGAGCACTCAGTGAAGTCGGAAATGCAATATCTTTAAGCTGTAAAATAGAAGGAACTTGTGAAGTTTGGATTGAAGGAGAATCAAGTCTGGTCCCAGGTTTCCCTGTCTTGATCTCAAGATATTTGATTGGTTCCAAGGTGGGAGACAGCAAAAGCCTAGAGGACCGTATCTCTCCCCTGTCCATTCGGTCCCTAGCATCTCGGACATTAGTCATTTTCCTATTGATATTATTAGAAGCATTCCCAGCTTCAACAGCTTTAAGTTTTGCATAGCAAGCATCACATACACGATGGGGTTTGCCTGGGGTTGGAGCTAATGCTGCTTTCAATGCTTTCTTGGAACTGCAAGCATGACAATGCACCAGCCCACAATTGTAACAGTGGTGCCTCTTTCTAGTAAAACCAAAGGCCTGCCGGCAGCCAGAGCAAACTGACTGGTCAACACCAGAGACCCACTTATGGATGCATATACTGGAAGTGAAATTTGAACCACATGATATATTTTTGACATGCTTGTCCTTGAGAGCTTCAACCCATGTTGGAGTTCTCCGATCTTCTGTGTCACCATGTCCCAGTCTCCCATTGGCACCTCTACCCCAAGTGAATACTTCACTTCTTGAAGTCAGAACAGCAACATGGTATGCTCCACAAGAAATTTCTTCAACAAATTCACCTACCAGTCTATCTTGTACCAAACAAGGTAACTTTCCATCAGAACTTGGGTTGCCAAGCTGACCATATGCAGTGCCACCCATGGTGAAGACATGACCTGAAGTAGTAAGAGCAACAGTCATCATATGTCCACATGCTAGCTGGTGGAAATTGTAATCAATAAGTGAAGACACACAGGTTGGAAGTAAATAAGTTTCCTTGTTTCCATGACCCAAGCGGTGTTTGTCACCATCACCCCAGGTAAACAGCTTTCTTGATGACATATTTGCACCAGTCTGGCTTATAACCTCAACAATAGCTGCAGTATGCCACACTCCACATGCAACTTTAACAGTCTTTAGTCCACTTAAAATTTGAACTTCCTTTGGATATGCAACACTTTCTCGATCCCCATGACCTAGAACCCCAAATGTTCCATCCCCAAATGTAAATAGTTTTCCATTTGAAGTTGCCAAAGCTAAATGCCACGTGCCACATGCAATAGATAAAACTTGGAGTCCTTCTAAAGGACCAGAAATTCTTTTTGGTACCCAGTGACTAACATCCGTGCCATGACCAAGGATTCCAGCATTATGGGCACCATCACCCCATGTAAACAAATCACCTGCTGTGGATACAGCACATGTGTGATACTCACCACATGACACAGAATCTACGTTAATAACTGCCAGGAACTCAACAAGATGGGGGCGACTAAAATCTTTTTCAGTTCCATGACCAAGTCTCCCCCCTGATTCCTCCCCCCATGTGAAAACCTCACCTTGCCTAGTTACAAGAGCAACATGTCTAAAACCACAAGCAATTTGATGAACATCAAGGACTACATTTGATTCTAGGGGCTTGGGAGTCAACACATCAACTTTAGAAGGGAGTGAGCTCCCGGACCCATCAGGTGTAACTCCATCAGACCATACCTCTCCCCACAAGTAAACATCACCTAATGATTCTATGTCATCTGGACCAGATCCAGCACTCGAACAGCTAGGAGTGCTTGAAACGCTAATTCTGAAACCATCTGCACCACTTGCCCTCAGCTGCATATTTGCACGTTCTGACCCCACATCTGAGCTTGCCAAATCAATAGATAATCTATCACAGGCAATGCTATTACTCAACTCTATGGTTGGACCATAATGACCATTTTGAGAGAGATCACCATCTTGTAGCTGAAAAGGGAAAGTAAACTCTAAATTAGATTTTTATCTAAAGCAACAGATTTTCAAATTAGACAGGTAACAATAGATGACATATGTATCTGGGCTTATTGTGATAATAGATGCTTAGGATGCATTGTTCATTTGAAAAGTTAGGCTGCATTTGCGAAACTGCTACTAAATTAACAAAATTAATAATTCATTTATTAAGAAAAAGATGAGTGCCAAATAAGGCACACTAGGAGTCACTGCTATAGATCTCCATTGATATAAGAACTCACATCAGTAAAATCACTCCCAGTTCGTCTATTACGATTTCGTCGGATCAATGACTGAAGGCCAGCAAACCAAACCTCTATCTCAGCTTTGTCCTTGCAGATCTATGGATAAGCCATTAATTGTTATCACCAAATTCAAAGTTATCACCAAGCTAAATATAAACTGACTAAAAAAATTTCAAATTAACTGAATACTAGAACTAACCAAGTCAAGAGATCTGTCTCCGTTGTTATATATAAGTGAAAATGATAAGTACTCCTTTTCTGGGCGCAAATATCTTCTAAACACAGCCTGTCAAAATTGCGAAACAATGATTATTTCTAACTACTTTGAAAATGAAAGTCTTTGAGTATGATGTAAAGAAGTTGAACCTAAGTAACCTACAAAATTCATCCTTATTGCAAAAGAATAATAATAATAACATTAAATAAATAAACCTACAGTTCTCTGTCCTGAAATTATTCGTGTAAAAGAAGCTAAATTTAGAGTCTTCTCTTCTCCATGTGAGTACCAAATCAATGCTGTCTCATCCTGTTAATACCAAAAAAATTGAAATAATTTGTAAATTTAAGGTTACAAAGATGTGTGGCAATTAATGAGAAGAAATTAATTAACTAAATAAATTCTTAAGAAACTAAATATGTGCTTTAATGATACATATTCTTAAGTAAGTGCCTACATATATATGTGTATTCACTTATCCTTCTGTGGCTGTGTGGATGCGTACATTTATGTAAGAACAAAGAAAAGAAAAGAGAGAGAGGCACAAACATGCAAATGAAGTTCAAATAGAAGCTCAACTTTAACTGCTACCATAACAGAAAGATCTAATATGAAAAAATTGGCTATGTCACGAAGCCAATAGAAGTATGGGAATAAAATGAGCAAGTAAAGAAACATACAATAACATTCTGTCAGATCCTAATGACAGTTTTCTTCACTACAAATCACCAAGTCCTATAGGGTCAAGATAGAAGAATTTTAGTCCAGAAATTCAATTTTCTGCAAAACTAATAAACCCATAGCTTGAAGAATACAATGGGAAGCAAGCATTTTGTTTAGCATGCCCTCAAGCTAGCTTACTGTTAATCAATATTATGGCAGGAAAATGCACGAAAAATCTTTTCTCCCTCATTGGAAAGTAGTTAAATCTACCAGCATCTATTCATTGCCCCTTAGGCAAGGATCGATGTTAGAGAACGATCCAATTTAATTGTTATGTTGCAAAGTGGATAACTTAACGATCTCAATCCTGGATGGAAAGTGCACATTGGAGGAAATCACTGAATGGGCAATTGCTCAAAAACCTTGATATCAAATAAGAATGAATATAAAGTTTTGCTAGAAAACAGCAATTACTGAATGTGCAATTGCTGAGAAACCTTGATATCAAATAAAGATGAATAAAAGCTTTACAAGAAAATAACTCACTGGAGAAAGTCTGAATGAACGAAATTTTGGTTTCCCTTTCCGGCTATACTTAATAAGCTGAGTCCCTTTTTTCAAAGCAACAAGTGCCTACAGGGGGAAATTGAAAACAAGAAAGGATAAATAAGAAATCCTAATAATTAAAGAAAAATAACCAAAGCACTAATCCATGTTAAAGCATGCTGCCTTCATCAAAGAAGATAGGACTTTTCTGTAACATTGAGTGGGCAATAAAGAGACACTGGATGTTTTTTCGCGATCTTTTTATGCTGTTAATATTTCCACTACATCAAATTATTTTTTGCATCGTCTTTTATTTGTAACATATCAGTCCCGGCCTCATTTCCCACCTAACTTGATTCTGAGGTGAGAAAATAAATAGGAAAATCTTATTTCACAACCATTAATCTTAAGAGAGTAGATGCCAAAACTTACATTGATCATATATAGAACAATAATTTTCAACTCAAATTGGTTAGCAACTTTCTCTCCAAATTTCCCATGATTTGCCAACAAAAATTTTTACAGGTCCTGGAGAAAGGTTCTTAAATATTTTTATTCTTCCCGGGTTGACTCTATCCCTATTATAAACATAACCACAGAATAGTGGTCCAATGATTCCCCATCCTCCCTCTCAAGTTAAGCCAAATCAAGATCATTTCATGGTGCATTTTGTCTACTTGAATAACCTTATCTCTCTATGGTTCTGTCCTCTAACTAATGAATATGGTGAGAATTTTCCTCATGGTAAAATCCACAGCTACATCATCTGTAGTTTTGTGCCCATTATAACAAACAATCAAACTATATAAGGAAAATGCCATAGACTTTGTAGAAAAAAAAAATTTTTCGTTTCTGTTAAAGCCACAAACTAGACCACCAGATCAAGTTGAAACCCTCAGCAACCCATTTCCCTCAATTTCTCAGAAACCAAAAAAAAAAAAAAGAGAAAATAAGGGAACAAAAAACAAGAAAAAGAAAAACTAACTTGCTCAATGTCACGCTCAGAATTCCCATAACCAGCTGGATCTGCCATTCCATCTGAAAAGATTAAAAGAAGACCGCCAACGAAGAAGCCGCTGCGGCGACTCCCTTGCCCCTGTCTTCATAGATGCATATGTTTTTTTTAGCTTTGGCCTCTCATCAAAGACAAAAAATACTTCCCACCCAATTCACCAGTTCAGGAACCCACTTCGCATTGATCGCCAAGAACCGAAAATTTTCAAAATCCTTTTCCTTTTTGATCGGATAAAGATTACCCAGATGGCAAAATCCACAGAAGATGACCCAGATTGTTGTTTTGGTGATTGTTTGTGGAAAAGGAGAGGAAGAGATAGAGAAGGCGAAATGAGAGGGGACTAAGCGGTGGGATATTGTGAGGATAAAAGAAGAAACCGAGGCGAGACATTGGCGCGCTGCAGCTGCTCTTCCCTGCTTCCACGTTCGCCACTTCATTCAACTTCTTTTCAAATTCCTCATCTTCTACTTCTTTGTACTATTTTATATACAAGGGATAAATTAAATGAGAAGTCCTAAGACTTTTAGATTGTTTAATTAGGTTTCTAAACTCTTAAGTTTTGTAGTAAGGTGCCTATACTTTTTAAAATGTTTAATTGGGACCTGATTTAAGTTATTTCTTCTTGATTACCACATAACAATCTTTTAAAACTTAAAAAGCACAAATCCAAACCCTGAACAGGAAGGGAAACAAGTAGTAGGGAATTTTGATTTAGAGATTTTTTTTTTAAGGAAAGTACACAAAAAATTGTTCTTTAAAAAGTTATCTAAAAAATTATGTGAACTTTTTTTTGTGTTTGATTTATAAGAAGAAAGTCATTGAAAGGTTAATTTTTGTTTTTTTTTTTTTGTTTTTTTTTAAATGATATCATTAGAGAACCAAAAATTATAGATCTCTTAAAAGAGATAAATAAAACTCTTTATTTTATAATTTGAACTACACTGGACTATAAAATTGAAACCATTAGATAAGAGAGAGACTCTCAATATCAGGAAACTCACTTTGATCCAATGATTGAAATTGAGCAATTTAAAACAATTTAAACTGTAGATTAGTTTATCAAATTAAGAACTTAACGATATCATTTGTTGAATTGTTGAAATTTATTTACCTTTTATCATATTTATTAAGAATAATTATTTTTTTCATCTGCAAAGTTGTAATAAATCTTAATTATTAAAAATTTTATATAAGTGTAATGTATAAGAGTTGTATGTATGTAAATCCCTACTCAGAGTATATTGGTTTTAGTCTTATTTCATACAAAAAAATCTATATATGTAAAGTATTACATTGGCAAGAAATTAGATAAAAGGCAAAAAGAAAAAAAGAAACGAATGAATGATATGTTTTCAAGGTAACTCAAAGAATGGCAGGATCTTTGTATCTCTTAAAAACTGTCTCAATACCACTCATCACTTCCGGAGGAAGAGGCCGCTCTGTTGTCACAAAAGCATCAATGTCTTCTTTAAGTTGGTCGACCGAGGTTGCACCTATGATAGAACTTATCATGAATGGACGATCTCTAGCAAATCCAAGTGCAAGCTGAACAGGAGTTAATCCATGCTTCTTTGCCAGCTCAAGATATTGTATGGTTGCTTCCTGAAATTCCACCAAGTATCTAAACATCAAGCCAGGCATTCAAGTAGCTGCTAACAGATGCTATGACAAAGCTAAAGATTATGCTGAACTGTTGATTACTTGTTAAGCCCACTGATCTTCACTAAAAATTTAAATTATGTAATGCTATTTGAAAAGACAATGACTTAAATGTATAAGGTAATAAGCTCAGTCATTTATGCACTCCTGAGGCAATTCAGCCTACTCTTCTAGAAATTTTATATAGTAGTTTTACAAACAGGAAATTATATGCTAGGAAGCTGCTAAACTTAGAGCTGCACTTCATCTGTTAAATCATGATTCATGGAGGTTGATCTATGAGACTTTCTAAAGTTGATAACTCTAGTCTGGTTCCTGAACCCAGAAAGGAGGCCCCCATAAAATGTATTTTTTGCTGAGAAACCTTAATGAATAATGGCACAATGAATTAAATCTTCTACCCAATACAAGGTCATATTTCCACTTGACATTGATTTGAACCAATCCAGAGCACATAATGATAGTTAAAAGATGGTAATTTGTTCTAGAATGATGTATATATATATACTATTGGTCACATTCATGCTGTCAATATACCTTGGCAATTGATCTGTTATATCTTTCCATGTATCCAGGAAAGAGGTTCATCCTTCCTCTTCTTGCAGCTTCAGAATTAATATCTATATATTTTCCAGTCAGTGATCCACCACCCAATGGAGAATAAGCAAGCAAGCCAACATTGCAATTGTTTGGGTGGCAAACCTCAACAAGATCAACTATGAAAAATCAGGGATACAGTTAGAAGTTGTCTGAATCAGGCATTGAACGGTACAAAAGAAATGAGAATGTGACCCCGTTCTTAAAACCCAAAGAGCACTGCAAGTCAGTATGAGTGAATTACTTTTAACAAAAATTAAAAATTAAAAAAAGAAGAAGCTAATTCCAAGTTAACCACATGATATTGATAGTGAAACCAAAACTAATTATGAATATGCATTCTCAAAATTGTTTAGTAGGATAAATGACATGCAGAGCAATTATGAAAAGCATCTCAAGGTGCTCAAGCCAATGCTGGTTGACTTTACAAATCAGCTAATATCAAAGCAGGTCCTTAGTGCCTGCAGAAATTTGTGAAGCTTTACAAGCAGGACAAAGAAAGGGCTCTGAAAAGAGCCACTTAGCCATATTTAGAGCAAGCATCCAACTTATCCACTCATTTGTTGGATGGAAGAAACATGCAATAATGAGAAATAGGATAATTACATGAGTAGAATCTTATAAATATAAAGGAGATGCATCGAATTGAAATAGTTATAAAATTTTGTATGGATTTTACCTTCAAAACGACATCTAACTAGCAGGCTATAGCTGTTTTGGATACTAACAATCTTTGGCAGTCCCTCAACTTTAGCTGCATGGACAAATTCCATCACTCCATATGAAGTCTCATTGGAAACACCAATGTAGCGCACCTAATATTTAAAAGCACCCATAAGATATCAATTACAGAGTATATATAATATCAGCTATAGCTATGAATCCTCTTTTTTTTTTTTAATGCCATCTACATAAGCATATTCCGGGTCCAAAATTTGACAGCTATATTTCTAGTAGGGTTTCAAAATTCAAAAATCAATTTATATTCAATACAAAGAAAAGTAGTCATGAAAAAGAAGGGATTGCTACTTCTAAAGCAAATGAGCTAATCCATCTTATTGCTTTCAACAGTTTCAGTTCCTGTTTTGTTTCACGCAAAATACTCAACTCAAAGATGCTTGAGGTGGAACTCTTAGTTTAGTTAGTCTTACCTTCCCTTCATCAATAAGTTCTTGAAAAGCCTTCAGTTGCTCTACAAAAGGCACGCTTGACCTCCATTTTAAAGGATCATAGAGATATTCACCAAACAACGGCACATAGCGATCTGGCCTGATTGAAACTTGAAATGGAATGCATAATTTAAAAACCAAAAGTGACAATTTATACATCTGGCAAGATGAATCCAAACAAGCACATAGATCTTTTGAAAATAAGAAAATCTATGGAAGATATAATTAGCACACTTCAAAAAGAATGGAAAAAGTTACCAATGAATTTGCAATAAATCAATGTAGTCAGTGTTGAGGCGCTTAAGGCTTTTCTCTACACTTTCTCTAATGTTAGCAGCATCAACTCGCAAAACCTTGCCATTGTCACGCAAATAAGTTGACCGTTCTGAATAACCACTTACTTTTGTTGCCAAAATAACCTGCCAAAAATATGATATTGCCACATATGTATAATCTGAAACCATGTAATATTTTTTAAGCCTTCAAAGCCCAGTAATTAGAGAAAATATCATCTCAAATCCTCCTCTATATGAATAGAGAAACTCATATCCAGGAATTGAATCACACCAGGAATTTTGGTGGGACAAGTTAATAGAATTTATAGAAACATAAATTTCAAAAAGTTAACCGCTAATCCTTTATGCGTGCTGCTCCAATATTACATTTTTTCACAGATTTCTACTAAACTAAAAAAAAAAAAAAGAAAACAAAAAAGAAAACAAAAAAGAAAAGAAGAAGAGCTTGAGGTATTCATAATGTTAAATAAGGAATCAATAAATAAGATCCCTAATAAACCGAACTCACAGTTGACATGTACTCTTGTCACATATCAATTCCATAGTGGGGGGTAGGAGGAAAGTTTTAGGCAATATAGATCCAAGCATTCAGTTTTGTAAACCTGACAAACCCTTTTTGCAGAAGACATGCTATAGTTTAAGCTTCCAATGAACAACAACAGAGCCATATCAAGCCATAAAATGTGTGCTAACATATGCTATCAGTCTATCACATAATATTTCCCATATATGTACTAAAACTAGAAATTACCCTCTAGAAAAACTTGAATTGTAAAGATTTGATCCGTTTGAGCACTTAATGAGATCAAAGTTTGGGGACATACAGAAATCATAATGTTGGTTGAAAGAATATATCAAAAATGTTATCTTGGAATGGCATTGGAGAAGATATATCAACAGTCATATCTATCGTATGAATAATACCTTTTCCCGAGGTTGAGACTTCAGCCAGCTGGCAATATACCGATCTGTGTTTCCTTGTGTCTCTTTTTTCATGGGAATTGGATACTAAAAAACAAGAAGAGCATGGAAAGAGAGAGAAGATTAACTTCACCCAACTGCACTGCATATCAGAAAAGATGCAAAGGGAGACTTGCAGAAAATACACCTGATAAAGGCACATAATAATCCCTATAATTAAATCATGCATTTTGAATTCAACATAAAGGTATCATCTTCATCACCAATTTCTCTAAAGAACATTCTTAACCATAATCAAAGTAATTTGAGTAGTTAAACAACAATATGAACAAAAAAAGTTAGTTATAATGGAATGGAATGCTTGAATAGTATATATCTCGGACAAAACAGGCATGATAGTGGCAGATTGAAATGACAAGAAAGGAAGCCTTAGAGCTAATCACATAGTGAACAAAATGGCACAGGTAAAAGAAAAAAAAAACACAAACAAATAGTTCGTCATGAAAATGTAGAACTATAAACCCAGATAAATTACATCGATGAAGTAAGATTGTTTGGCAACTCCATACAGCAGTAAGTCTCTCTTGGGTCAATTTCCCTTCTTTTTTTTTTTTTCCAATTGGAAGGAGAAGGAAAAAGGTAACCATTGATTATAAAACAATCTGGTGCATATGAAATGATGCCATCTTCTCAAAAAGACAAATAAAAGTTTTTGAGTAAACTATTGATTGCAAAATCATAGAAACTTACTGCCTCAGAAGTGTCAAGTGTATTGATCCCATGTTCAAATGCATAACTAAGCATCTGATGAGCTTCTTTCTCAGTATTTTGTTCTCCAAAAGTCATCTGAAGCAGTATTGATAAAACATCATCAATCATCCACACTTCGAAATATGAGAATCAAAACAAAGAAAGAAAGCAAAACCAAATCTAAGTATCCAGATTCCAGAACAGAGGAAAACTTATTATGAAAAGAAATGGCTAATAATGTAAGAACTCTGCATGAATTTTAACAGGAGATATGGCAAATTAAAGTAAAAAGAAAATAAATTCAACAAATTATTATTTTTGTAAAAAAGAATTGTTTATTTCAGAACAGTATTTGGATATTTTATGTCACTAATTTCCAAAATGTTATTCTAAGAGACACAAACAATCCTTCTTTGGTGAAAATGAATAAAACCCAGTGAAAAGAAACTCAGTTTCTTACAGTTCCAAGAGTGATTTCGCTGACTTCGAGGTCTGAGTCACCAAGCTTCCGATACTGCAATGCGCTTTTCTCTGCAACTTTGGCGCTGATGCGTGTCTTGAAAGAACTCCTCCGGTGCAGAAGTCTTCTTCTTCTAGCATGTGGTAATGGATGTGAACCACCACCCGGACAACTAGGAGAGAAGATAGAGCGACTGGTGGTGGTGGTGGTGGTGTTGCCGTGGAAAAACGGAGGAATCAAGGAGAAGGCGATATAGGAAGCCATTTCACCGGCTTTGACGCAACCGGGTCTACGCTACCTTTTCTCCGCCCTTATCTAGTAATAACCGTTAGTTTGGCACTCAACTTACGTCGTCTTTTTAATGGACAGAGTGACTGTCTGATCTTCACAAAGTAAGCGTGGGATTGTTTTAAGTCAGGCCTTTTGATTTTTATTTATTTATTTATTTTTTATGACCCAGATTTTTGTTTAAGAAGGGTTTATTTGATTTTTGTTAAAAGTTTAGGACCTGTTTAATTTTTTTTCAAAAGTCTAGGGGGGCAACCACCCCCCCCCCCTGCACCCCTGGCTCCGTCTCTGAAGTCCGGTTGGAAGTTCGAGTCCCGGTGATCCTTCTTCCCCATTTTCCTTCCCCATTTTCCTTTAGTATGATAGGTTTGATTGTAATTTGTTTAAAAAAATATAAAAAATATATTTACTATGTGTTTAATATTTAATTTAATGAAGATTTTATATATTTTTAAAATAATAAAAATATACAAAAATTAAAAACCAAAGTATCGAGAAACATGGTCAAATAAAGCTTAAATCTGAAATAAATTCCTGGAAAATTTAAGTTTGCCGTAGAGTTAATTAAGCTAAAAAGCATGCAATGTTTCTCGACTCTAAGTGTTTTCTAATTGCTAAATTAAACAGTCTACTTTCTTTATACATTAGTAAGCTAAACAAAAGGGTGTGCTTTTTCCTACAAACACCCGTGCAAACCAAGCATCAACAAACTTATATCAGTAAGCTAAACAAAAGGGCCTGCTTTTCCTACAGACACCCGTACAAACCCGGCATCAACAAACTTGAAATACATACCAAACTCTTACAAATCCTTTAAACTCTAGTCTCAAACTATTGCAAATCCAGCATCAACAAACTTGAAATACACACCAAAGAAGTTTTATGTAAAGATCTCAATTTATTAGTAGTTATGACTGCTTAGTGCTTACCATCATTATATGTTGACATGTTGCCATTATTTAAAACTTGACCCAGCCAAGACCTGTGGAAGCCACTTCTTCTCTTCTCTGGGGCAAAAACACAAGCATCCTGTCTTTGGGAGGTAGGTTGTCTGTGATCAAAGAATGGCTGAGAAACCAGTTGATCCATTCTACAGTGGCCGGGAATCTCAGCGGGTCTAGAATTTGCATTGAGCCAACATCCTGAATAACAGGCAGCCAGTGAGCGATCCATCCCACTGAAAGTTCCAGATACCCAATGTTGCTACCCTCACCCCCTGTCAGGATCTGCTTCCCTTTGAACAATCCCTCTTCCATCTTTTCTAAGGCTTCTATGCATTGTTCAACAAGCTTTTGTTTCTCCTCACCAGTAGAGCACATAGCATTAAATGCAATCTCCCAAACCTACAACAGGATGCATATACAATAGGTATTTGAGCGTGTTTGGAGTAGCCATAGCTTCTGTAGAAATTTTTTTTTTATTAAATCTTTTCTAAGTATATAAAATGGAAAAAGTGTTTTTGCAGGTTGTTCTTCTAAATTTTTTTTAGATGATATCTCTTAAAATTCATCTTTTAATTAATATTTTTAAAAATTAATCATTGGATTAAAAATTCTATTTATATAAATTATGCATATTAATTTTCAAATAATTTTAATAGGCCTAACTATTTTGTTAATTATAAGAAGTTTAACATCATTAAATATATATCAATAAATAAAGTTTATATAATTAAAAAATTTTTAATATTAGATCAACATGAAATTAATATGTATAATCTACATAAATAAAACTTTAAATCTAATAATTGGGTTTTTCAAATATTAATTAAAAGGGAGATTTTTAGTCAAGTCTTTTAAAATTTTGTTTAGAAAAACAACAGACCCTCCATTATCTTCATATAAAATAATTAGGGATCATTTTTGTTGAACGCAATAGCTCTATTATTCAGAAGCTATAAATTTGCAGTTTCAATTTTGAAGCCTAAAAATTTAATTAGTTTGGTTGATAAGAGAATATACTTCACAATCAGTCATTTCTTCACAACTAAGCATGTGAGTTAGATAGTTTTGTGTAAGTAGTATTATTGAGTTAAAAGAGCACATACCTCATGAGAGAATTTAGCCCAAAATCTAGCCAATGCTCTTTGGTGAGGATCTTCAGGCAGCAAAGGATTTTGCTTCCATGTTTCATCGATATATTCAAGTATAATAAGTGACTCAGCTATTGCCTTCCCATCATGAACAAGAACAGGCACCTTTTTATAAACAGGGTTCAGTTGAAGGAGCAGACTGCTTTTGCTTTTATAGACGTCTTCTTCTACGTAATCATACTCAACACCCTTCATCTTCAGAGCCCATTCAACTCTGCGCGAGAAGGGGCTGATCCAGAACCCTAAAAGCTTCACCTTTTCGGCTGCCATGGAAGATAGTTGCCTCCTTTGTTGTTCTCTTAGTCATTTATATGCACATATATATATATATATATGAAAATAATATCTATCTGTTTTACCTCTTAAAGATTATAAAGAAAATTATCTAAAAATTAAGTCATTATAATAAAATTCTATTGCAAAAAACTTTAATACCCTATTTTTAAAGTATAAATTAAAGTATTTTTTATTCTTTCTAGTGATATGTTATTAAAATGATGTAGTTTTGAGATAATTTTCTTCTTAATTTTTAGAAGGTAAAACAGATAAGTATAAACTTCTATATATATATTCAAGTTTTTTATGATAGACTGTATATTAAAAGTGCTGTTTATCTTATGAGTTTACTTAAATACAATTACTAAAATAGTATAAAAATAAAAAATAATTTTATTAGAGATCTTGAAGTAAATTTATAAAACGGACTGCACTTTTAATATACAATCTACCCTGTAAAACAATTTGTTTGATATATATATATATATATATATCTTGATTTAGTATTTTCTACTTTAAAAATTCTTGAATAATGGGGCGGCACATTTTGACGAAAATGGTACATGTTTTTCTTCTCCCTACTGTTCTCCTTTTTCTCTGTCTTAGACTATCTTCATATGAGACAAAGGTTAATATTTGCTATTTTCAATCCTTGATCTGAAACTTCTTGAAGATAATGTGGTGGCATTTGACAAACGGAACTTGTTTGTCATCTTCCTACCATTCTTGTTCCAATCCATAATCCACTTGTTACCTAGTGATGTAGGACATCATTTCATTTGAGAGGGGTGGAATAAAATGAAACCAAGACAGTTTTGAGATGGAAGAGGAATATTTCTTGTATATTCTATGGAACAATTATTTGTTAAAAAGAAAAAAAAATTGTGTAGTCTTGTGCATCAAAACCATTTGATGAGGGTAAATCCTCTGTTTCTATTAAATAATTTTTATTTCACAGTTTAAATTATAAAACATGAAATTTTCATTTATAAGTCTTATACTAGAATGATAAATGTTTCAAGATGGAGGTGCAAAAGGAGTGTCCTTCATTATTCTACTTCCTTGTTATTTAAGATTTCATTCAAATTAAGTAGGTATTCATTGATAATTATTTAGTCAACTTGGTATTTTATTAACTTTAAAACCTTAATTCTAAGACCAATGTCCAGGGTAAAAAATTTAATAAATCAATGAAATAGCATATATGAGCATCTTCCCACCTCTATATCCATAATCACCTGTTTGATCTATTTTGTGCTTTAGTAGAGGCCATATGGGCCATCGTTAATGCATGTAAATGCTAATTTCTTCTAATCAAAATATAAGGAAATGGAAGAATAAAAATTAAAAATATGGGTTTCAGCTGGAAGACCTTATTAAACTGCAGAATTGAGGTGTAAAGCAAAGGTGGAGAAGGAATGAACGTTGCCTTTTTCCATTGATAACAAAATAATAGAGTTAGCAAGCTTTACAGGTTGGAAATTAAGGGTAGATGGCTTGTGCAATTCAAATAGAAGCTGTGGGGTTTTAAACTTTCATTAATGAAAAGATATAACAACAGACAGTCCACATGGTCAGGTCCTAGAATGTGTTTGTCAGTGCAAAGCATCTCGTTCGGCCTCCACAAGTTGGCTCCCCCTTTTCCTTAGAGAACTAAATCATCTTTTTTAAAATTTTAATGTGTGTGTTTTATGTTATATAATAAAGGATAATATTCTATCATTCATTACCAATATTATAATTAAATGATTTAATCATTGATAATAAATTTTTGTTGGGTTATCTTTAAATTTAAATATTTAAATTTATTTTAAAATTAAATATCATTCTAAATGATTTAGACACAATTCTTAAATTACTAAATAATTGAGAAATGGTTGGTATTGGAGAACTATCAGCTTCCTTTGATTAAACAATGTTAGGGGTTCCATGTTAAAATACACAAGGGATCAGTGGCGGAGCCAGGGGGGTGCGAGGGGCGGCGCTCGCCCCCCTGAAATTTGAGAATCTTATAAATTAGCATAAGAAAAATTATTTAACTCCTCCTAAACTTTGAAAATTTTAATATTTTGCCCCCTGAAAAAAATTTCTGCCTCCGCCCCTGCAAGGGATCAAGGCAAAGATTATGATATGAAACAGGATGCCCCAAGAGGCCAAGAATACCTACTCCCGAAGGAGAAACTACAGAACATGAGTTGAAAGAAGGAACATCCAGGAATCGTGCTTCATTGTTCAAAGGAGGATGGAGCCCACAAACAACCCCTAACTTAAGGTGGAAGTAGGAAGTCCGCTAGAAGTCAAGAATAAGTGGGGTTATACAGTATTTCACTTTCAGAAACTGACCCGAGATTTCTTTTGTGTTTGGCCTCCAATTTTACCGATCGTGAAGAAAATTACTTGAGTAAGGAAACATCTACCATCTTCTTTTGCAACAATTTGAAAAGTTAGCATTTCCACCAATCAAATGCAGAAAGATGGGCATTTTACACAAAGCAAAAGGAAGAAAAGAAGATCCAAGAAGAATCAATTCAAGCCCCCTCCGGTCTTCCCCCATAAGAACCAATAGAAATTGATTGCTTTTCTACGCAAATTCTTCATTAAATCTACTCCTATATATCTCTTTCTCTCTGCCTCTCCTTTCAAAGAAGCCATAACTACATAACAGAAAAAACCAACATTCCAATGTCTCCTTCAAAGCTATCAAAGAAGCTAAAACCTGCTAGAAAGGCATGGAAGACCTTCACAACCAAATTCCGATCCAAACTCCAAAACCTTCACATCCCAGAATCCATCAAATCTGCCTCCCACCGCCTCTTTGAGTTGTGCTCTTTCTACCTTTTTGCACCCTTCAAAAAACGTTTCCTTGCAAGATCTTCCTCCCCTTTCCACCGCCGCAACTACCAGCACCTCCACCAGTACTATCACCATCAGAACCAGTCTAACAAGAACTTCAAAGCTGTATACATAGACAAACTCTATTCAGAATCCATCTCTGTCCATGCAGGGCAAGGAGCAAGCAGTAGCAGAGGCAAGGCGGTGGCTGACGGTGGTGGTAAGAAGGTTTTACCGGGAAGAAGAGAAGAAGTGGAAGCAGAGAAGGGTTTTTACAATATTGAAGATGCCTGGAGGAATGTTGTTGCCTCGTCTCCACACCTTAGGGGAGTGGATGAAAGAGCAGAGGAGTTTATTCACAAGGTTAAGGAGGAGATGAAACTTGAAAAGGAGAAATCTCTTCTTGAATTCCAGGAAATGCTGGCAAGAAGTGCATAAAGTTAAATCAGTTTTCATATTCTTTAGCTTCCATATTCAGTTGTTTTTCTAATGCAGAACATGGAAGTGATAATATTTGGTTATGAAGGTGGGGATTGAATTATTATTATTATTATTATTATTTTGCTCTGAACATATACAGTAATCAGGGTGCTTTTTTTTTTCCTAGGTAATTTGCTAATGATCAATTGTGTGAAAATTGTGTACTTGATCTTTTGGTCATCAAACAAGAAGTTTGATTGTGAAAATTTGTACTAGAAAATATGGAAATAGAGTTTGCCACGACTCTTTGGTTTTCTGCCTTCCGCATAGCACACCGAACTGCATTTTTTTTGGTCTGAAAACGATTCAGTGTCAAACAAATCCTCACAATGTGACAATAGATTTTTGTTTATTATTATTATTATTATTATTTTTAATTTTGTGTTGTTCATTTTGCATTGGAAGCTATTTGGATGTGTTTGGAGGTTAACTTTCTGTTATTAGTAAGGTTTTATGGCACTGACAGTCCATGGGATTCGGAAGTAAAGTGAGAACAACCTGAGAAATCTCAAAACCATTTGGGAGAAAAGAAAAATGAAAATTTTGCCAAAGTACATTTTATCGGTCAATTGTCACAAGACAAAGGAAGGATTTTCATTAATGCAACCATATTAGAACCAATCCAAATATCCAACAGAGATACCATGAATTTTTCTTTCCTTCCCTACATTTATCATCAATGGATATAAAAATAAAACATACAGAAGTAATTTTAAACCTACTAACTTCAAAGTCCTTCACCTTCCAGATCAGTGAAGAAAATCTTTCATGGGATCATCAAAATGTACTTTCTTCATACGATATGCCTCCATCTCCTCAGCAGTAACCTACAAAAAGAATCAGATGATTCAGAAACAACATAAAACAATGGCCTAGAGAATGTATAAAACTCAGAGTATAAGTTGCTGGTTGCAGGCTATATATCAAAGAAAACATCACTACCTCATCATTCCATTTAACGTTGTACTTGCGCTTCCTTTCATCCTTCTCTTCTTTCCTTCTCTCATCCTCCTGCCAAATAAAATAACATATTTAAGCAACAAGCAAAGGACAAAGTTATAAGAGGCATACACAATCAAGTTACTGCTTTTAAGGTTCAAAAGAAGGAAAATCTAATACAATAAAAACTTGGGGAAACA